CTGTTTGTATACTTCAATTATACGATCAATGATTCTAATATATGGAGTTTAGTATAATTTATAACTTTTAATGAATTAGAACGTATATTTTTATTAAACAATTTTTATCTCAGAATGCATATACAACATAATTTTTATAAAGTGCATATGTAATAAGAAAAAGAACACAGTTATTAAGTGTGGATTTATTCTGTTTTCCATATAGTATTTTTAGACATATTTATGAAATAAAGGTAGATATTTTTGATTAAAATGAGTGTATTGTATACTAGAATTTGTCCCGTATAATTCAATGAATGAATAAAAGGATTGTAAGGAAACCGCAGTACTATTATCATGGAAATGTTATTATAGTAATGTAATGCAAATTAGTAATATTTCCTCTTTCATTATGACCATATTAGATCAGCCTTCGTATATTTCACATATTTCAAGACTATTTATTTGGGTTTCAATTAATTCATTCATTTTTACCACGAAATATTTGTAATACAAGGAAGACTGATATTGACATACTAGTTAAGTATTTTAATTTTAAAGATTTTGCTGAAAACATTTTTAAATTTTTTGGGGTTCATATAAAATAAACAAATATTTTATAAAAGAAAAATTGAAATGAATAATTTTTCATATCATAACTATTACTGTTTTAATTCGAATACTTTCAAATAGAATTATTAGTTGAATGCCTACTTTAGAGGGAAATGTTTACGTAAATTACACAATGTACAATAATACATAATATTACAACATAGACTTCTTGTTAATTCATTCATTTTTACCACGAAATATTTGTAATACAAGGAAGACTGATATTGACATACTAGTTAAGTATTTTAATTTTAAAGATTTTGCTGAAAACATTTTTAAATTTTTTGGGGTTCATATAAAATAAACAAATATTTTATAAAAGAAAAATTGAAATGAATAATTTTTCATATCATAACTATTACTGTTTTAATTCGAATACTTTCAAATAGAATTATTAGTTGAATGCCTACTTTAGAGGGAAATATTTACGTAAATTACACAATGTACAATAATACATAATATTACAACATAGACTTCTAGTTAATTCATTCATTTTTACCACGAAATATTTGTAATACAAGGAAGACTGATATTGACATACTAGTTAAGTATTTTAATTTTAAAGATTTTGCTGAAAACATTTTTAAATTTTTTGGGGTTCATATAAAATAAACAAATATTTTATAAAAGAAAAATTGAAATGAATAATTTTTCATATCATAACTATTACTGTTTTAATTCGAATACTTTCAAATAGAATTATTAGTTGAATGCCTACTTTAGAGGGAAATGTTTACGTAAATTACACAATGTACAATAATACATAATATTACAACATAGACTTCTTGTTAATTCATTCATTTTTACCACGAAATATTTGTAATACAAGGAAGACTGATATTGACATACTAGTTAAGTATTTTAATTTTAAAGATTTTGCTGAAAACATTTTTAAATTTTTTGGGGTTCATATAAAATAAACAAATATTTTATAAAAGAAAAATTGAAATGACTAATTTTTCATATCATAACTATTACTGTTTTAATTCGAATACTTTCAAATAGAATTATTAGTTGAATGCCTACTTTAGAGGGAAATGTTTACGTAAATTACACAATGTACAATAATACATAATATTACAACATAGACTTCTTGTTAACATTTATACTTTACTAACAAATAAGAAATGTGATAAACGGAGTATAAAAGAAAAGACATGCTAAAATTCTTTACACGAAAAGAGACTCCGAATGTTTATTGGAACGTATACCGTAATGATGTAATTGATATAAAAAATATTGGGAGTCATAAATAATAGATTCTGATAGCAATTACTTTCAATATTTATCAATTCACATGTAATCGTGCGTTGTCTGATCGGAAACATTATTTGTATACGTGAAACCCTTTCAAGTCGAGTCATTTTAAAAGTAACTTAAAAAATTCAGCATCGTTTGAATAACGATACAAGTGATTATTAACAACATCCCTTAAAACGAAGATATACTTGAAACGAAGTATCAAACTATTGACATTTACTTAGAACGAAGTTTTGTTTGTATTTAATTTCCATTAATTTCATTGATTCACTCTTAGAACAAAACTTTGATCTATTTTTCTACCAGATACTTGAAATGTTAATACGATTCTTCCAAATGAAAATCTTAGTACTATTTTCAACTATTATATACTCATGAGTTGAAAAAACAAAACCGTTTCGATGCCATTTATGTTATATTAAAACAAAAGAAGTTTAAAGTGCAACTACTTAGCCTAAGACGTGCACCCGAATATGTAAAACGAAGTCTCCGGGAGTGTTCCAAATATAATAAGTATTCTTCACATAACTATTCATAGAACGTGTTTTCGAACCTAAAGTTATTATATAGCAGCTATGAACATAATAATCAGCTATGATAGAAATGAATTTATCGATTGGGCATTGTTTCAACAAGATCCAATCGTAGTTTAATAAACTTGACACTTATTTACCGACACCGCCACGAATAAGACTCTTTTAATTCATAGACAGGTATTTAAATTAATTAAATTTTTAACAATATAAAACTGAGTTACATTCTATTTTCTCTTATTATTATATTTTTCATTCTAATAAAGTACAGACACAAACACTTAATCTCATATTCATATCATCTACATCCACATTTTCATCTCGTCGGCCCGTGATCATGCTTGCTGCAAAGTAACTGAATCGTCGGGATATATAATATATGTAGTTTAAAAGAACTATAAAACGCTATAATAAATATTATTTTTATAAAACATTGACAGCATAGAAATGTTAGATTCTTATTATTTTCAATACGTATTTTAGGAAAATGTACACAACAAAAGCTATGGAGATAAGACATGTTGATGTTGTTTCTGCTTCGTTGAAATAGAAGTACAGCCAGCATAGATTGGCCAAAAAACTGTTTCTTGTGGTTAAAATGAGTCTCTATTATGAATATACCTATTGTCGGGGTTGAAAAGAAAATGAGCTTTCTTTGCCTTTACTCATCACTACGAAACCGATAAAATATATTTTGCATGCACTAAGCCATGTTTAAAGATAGGTAATTAAAACAAGAAGTGTTACTATTTCCAGTTTAAATATGTTAATTAAGAATGTAATACGTTTAATAAAATATTATATACGTGGCTGTAAAATTACTTGTTTAAAGACGTTGTAGACAATTCTAGTTTTTCAACATAGATTTTAGCATGTTTTTTCAGAATATAGTTTGTATACTAGCAAAGGAAATTCACCTGAAGGGATTTTAATTAAATATTTTATATTCTTATTATATTCGTTCAATGTATTACTGTTTAAGTTTCCTGTGTTTATAACATTCTATAGTTACGATTATTTTCTCTTCGGAGCTGTTTTTCAAATATCTCAACTGTCAACGGAAAAAACAACTTTAAACGTTTCTCACTTAACTTTTAGATAAAACTGATACTTGGGATGTAGCCAAATAGTAAACCATTTTATAAAGGCCCCTCGTTGGAAGTCCTGAATAATAATGTATAAGAATATCAATTCTAAAATTTTATTTAAGGTGATACTGTGGACCATTAATATTAGTATTTAAATAAAAAATATCTTATACGTTTAAACTCTTGTAGTTCATCTTATTAACATTGAATTTTATAGTAAATTACCTACTAATGTTAGTTATTTAAAACATAATAGTTAATTGGGCTCGTAGAACGTCAACTTTAAACTAGGTACAATTTAAAAATTTGGCAAATAAAGTTTCAGTTCGCTCAACACGACAGCAGGCTTGTTGCATTGCGGAGTGTTATGTAACATAACATGAGATAAAATGGTTAGAAATCTTTCCTTAATCTAATGTCACTATTTTAAATAATTAATTCAATTATATTCACTTAAAGAAAATTCTACAGTAAACTTAATAATGAAAGAATGTCAAACTTATTTTGCTTTATAAAATTCTTTTCGTGGTTAAAACAGATTTTTATGTGTCTAATTCTAATCCATAATAATTTAAATTGAACATCAATTTAATAAATTACTCAAGTTGCGCATAATGACATAAGACTGAGTAAACTAGTTATTATAATTCATAATACATATAATTGGATATCACCCATATCTTATTATCATGTATTTTGCTCGAAATCGATCAATGTTCTTCAATTAAATATCCGTCATATTGAAGATGTGTTTCATAATGATGAATGTGGTATAATGGTCTCAGTTAATTACTAAATTATTAGTGTAGAAATTCATACATAACAATCTTAAAAGTATTAATCAGTATATAATTTCAGTAGTGTACGCTATTTACTCTTTGTGAATTGGGAGAGGAATGAACAATTGTTATATTAAAATACTGGGGATACAAATGAAAAAGTTAAATCAAAATTTTGTTTTTAGAATTATTTAATGTTGTAAAGATATTTTATAGATTAAAATCTTCTCGTGGATTTATTTAGTTAAGCGAATTTCTTTTAACGGGTTTCACTGTTTTTTTAACACTATAAACAATAGTTTTACCCAATTTATTCATGGTATAATATTTTCACAACGATAACTCAGCATTTTTCAGATACGTTTAATATTTTTTATATTATTAAGAACGATTATCCACAAATTTTCTTATATTCTACCTACAAATAGTATGGCAATTAAATGTAGCAAAGTAAAAGATATAATGACATCAAAATTGAAAGGGATTTGGTCTAAGCAACTTATACTATTTCTAGATACGTACTGTCCAATTGTTTCAAAGTATCCTATAGTATATTTTGTACATATTTTCTCCTGATTTCATTTTAAACTTTTATTGCCTTAGGTGAAATAGATTTAAACAAAAACAATTGACCAACTTCGATGTCACATAAATAAATTAGCTCTTGCACTCAAACAATAAAATGTAACGTATTTTAAAATCTATATTTCAATTTAAATCTAATTCAAGAACTTTTTTTTTATCTTTAGCAACACCAAAACGACTAAAACCGGATGATAACACCAGTTGCGTGTTCAAAATCCGTAAATGGTGCCGCAGTCGACGCTGTCAGCTGTGGCGGTTGCTGCTCCTCCCCTTCATACCTATCCTGGCTCTGATTGTTCAGACCACCTTCTCCTTAAAGAACAGCCTCACTAATGGCATGGAAGTTGCTGATGTCGAAGAACAGGTAAGATAGCTTAGTGACCTTGAACCACGCGAGCTAATTTTCCATTAAGGTGAAAATGTTTTGCATTAAAGGTACACATTCTATTAATTGAAAGATGCACGAGGGCGTGGGTTCGATCCTGGCCCTGGCCCAATGTGATTTTTTCGAGTCATATATACTTTCTAAGAGTATTTAGACATCACTGATCAATGCATTCCCAAAGAGGGTTGATGTCAGGCAGGCGGCCGGTCGTAAATATGTTAGCCAAAACTATACACAACATCTAAGGCAAACCCGAGCTAAAGGAAATTGCCAGGTAGAAGAAGATTCTATTTGAAAGATATAAAACACAAACCATCACTTGGTATAAAAATGCGCTGTTCGTGCGAATCTGTGCACCTTAAACCTTATCTATATGTATTTTATTGGTTTAAACGAAGAAATATATTCAGTATTTCCACTCATTCCTTATATTCTTTCTTCTACACGTGCCACTATTATATGGGAAAAGTAATCAAGGTCTTACATTGAATAAGCGAATAAAAGATAACTACTAAGAAAACACAACTTGTATTTAATAGTCCAAACTTACAAGATGCAATGAAATACACTGGGGAACTTAATGATTGATTACATTCTCTTCAATATAAGTTTTCATCTCGACGACGTTTCTTGCAGACTGGCACGTGAAGTTTATATCTATGAAATATTATATTGAGAATTTGTATTTTAGAATATATTTTTTATTATTTATTTAGTTATAAGAAAATGAAAATTGTAAAGTGAAAATTCATACAAAATTTTTGAAATAACCGCTAATTTGAAAATAAAAGAAGTTATTTCTCGGTGTTGGTCTATTCAACAGTAAAATTATTTTTCATCGTGTACAACAATAGTTGCAATAAATTATCTTACAGAAAAGAATCTACAGAAATGTTTAATAGTACCAAGACGGGAAAAATCTGTTCCTATATTATTGAAATAATATAATACTTAGGTTTAATTTAACAAAAAATTTAAGTTTCTAAAATATGAATCAAAATTATATACGAGATAAGCCGAATGATAAAATAAGATTTTTCTAAATTATGCCTTCAAAATTACTTTAAAAAATATATTCAGCTATACTAGAGACATGGACACATTTATTGCATAATTATAATTATTATTGTTTTACTTATTAAAAATATTTAAAAGCAAAATTTATATGACGCTGATAAAGACGTAACGGTCACTAATTTCACAAACTTTTGGAAGACGGAAAGTAATTAACTAATATTAAAAAACCAAAAACATTATTACTATTCATTGTGTTATGAAACTTAAATCTGAGATGTTAAGATGGATTGAATATTAAAATTACTCTTTTGTATATTTTTGGTTAATGAATTGATATACAAATATTAAATTTATAAAATTATGACTTCTCTATGAGTAAGTTTTATCTAACTAACACTTACTTTACTTTTAATTAATCTGTATTTATAATATTACAATGTATGTATATTTACTCTTTACCGAAACTCTAAAAATGCAACTTCTAGAAATTTTCTAAAAATATTTTTTTGTTCCTTGGGGGTTTCAAACACTTTTTTAATTATCCAAAGTTACAACAATATTTATTCTTACACAGAATGTTCTTATATCACTATTAATCATCCTATTTTTTTATTTCTTCAATATTTCCACTGTCGTGGTCTATGGAGATAAAACAGTAATTATTCGCTGTCAATTCCCTTAACAAACGACGGCTTGACGTTGCATAGATAAATGAAAACACAGATCTTATAGTGTTCCATAGAATACCTGCATTTTAATAAATGGGAAACAGAATAAGAAGGAAGATCTTAAATAAAGCAGCATTTGTGAAGAGAAGCTTCTGAATTTCAATACTTTTTAATTGTTTGAATATTTAAACCATTAAAGTTATATGATCAATATAAAAAAGATGTTGCTGAGTACTTTAAAATATTGTTCAATTTAGTCTGGGCCATTAAATAGTTATGCATTTTGTCAAAGAAAATATTTAAATATAAAAACTATTAATACGTAAGCGTTATCAAGAGAATAATGAACTCTTGATGGAATTATACTGCGACGAAAGTTTTGTCACTAAAATATTTAAAAATACTTCAACATGACGGTTATTTTTACAGCAGAATCTATGTTTCTTTACTTACGTTTATTGATCGGAATAAAATAAGATTTATATAAGTAATCTGTATGGGACTATTTGCACATAGTAATAAAAAATACAGAGTTCTTGACGATTGAAGTCAGAAAATTCTATTATATTTCCTTGGTCCAGGTCAGCAGAGCTACAGAGTTAGGTAAGCTGGTGACCAGGTTGCAGCAGGAGAGATCTGAAGTTGCATTCTTTATCTTCACTAATGGAAGTACTCTGAGGTAATGGTCTAATTTGTAATACATTACGCGTTTTCTGTAGGTTCAAGTACTGCTGACGATAAAACCTGATAAAATATAATTAAAATTGCATTTCTCAGTTTTAAGAAGTAATAAGGGATCTTGAAAAAAATGCAATTACTTTTGGTTTCTTCATTCTAAATAAGTACTATCATAATTAATTTAGATCCCAAATATATCTCCGATGATAAAGCCTTATTTTCACTACAAAAAAATTGACATTAAAATTGAAATACGACTATATTTTCTGTTTCGACTTTCGTTTTTATAGTGTAATATTAAAGACAGTGGTGGTCTAATGGTTAAAAGGGCCCGCCTCTCATGCCCGAGGGCGCGGGTTCGATCCTGGCAAGTACCAATGTGATTTTCCCGAGTCTTATGTACTTTCTAAGAGTATTTAGACATCACTGTTTAATGCATTCCTAAAGGGGGTTGACGTCAGGCAGGCGGCCGGTCATAAAACGAATTAGCCAAAACTATTCACAACATGTAAGGCAAACCCTGGCTAAAGCTGGGAAATTGCCAGGTAGAAGAAGAAGAAAAGTACGTACTAAGTACTGAGTATTAGTAAGTTTGGGATTAGTAAATTCATTATTCTATAGAATTTGTAAATTTAAAGTAACATAATCAAATTGTATTATCTATATCAGTGCAAATTAAATGATAGAAATGTAACAGTTACGAATTAGGACGTTTAACTAAAATTACAATTACACGTGTATGTTACGGTTATTGAAATCTTCGGAGTAACAATAAAATTTTTATTGACTTGACATATGGAACATACATTGCGAGTAGCGAAAATTTGTTTCTACTGATTATTATTATTGGTTATGTATTTTAAAAAGATATTTGATTATAAATAGGAACTCAAAGTGAAATCTTTTATGTTTGTAGATTTGATTTTATGTTTTTTTTTGTAAATAAAATGAGAGTTAAAAAAAATCTTACATTTTAAATAAAAAATCATCCAAATTAAAGTTTCAGTAATCATAACTCTACATATTATATATAATACTCAAAGATAAAATATAAAAAATATGAATAGATTAAAGCTTTACGTTCATTTATAAGGAATAATTCTGATAATTTTTCTTACGATATAAGACGTTATTTATTTAGTAACAACATATTAAACCGAACAACAATCAAAATTTTTTTTCGATCTCAATCTATTTTATAAATCATTTTTTTGTATAATCGATTCATAAACAATCTTCTTTCACTCCATGAATATTCATATCGTCGCCATAAAGGGCAGGCTTCTCGACTTTTATATATATTACTACCGGCTCGTATTCGTAACAAATAAAACAAAATAATTGGCTTGCTTGTATTATTTTTATCATTATCAAGTGATACACTAGAGCTTAGTATATTTTTCAATACATTTCAATTGTAATTGAGTAAACATTTTTCATAGAATTTAAATTTTCTTTGATGAGGAGTAATACGCCATAAAAATAAATATAACTGTAATAACTAAGAATATATTTTATTTTTTTGTTTAAGTTCTTTGAATTACCATAATAACTTATTCTAGCAAATGAGGTATAAAATTATTATTTTGCTGTCTTTTAATATTCACCTTATTTATTTTATATACAAGTAAATGTAAAGAAATTAACGACACGTCTTTATGAAGAGGAACGATTAGTGAAAATTTTTGTTAAGTAATAAATTGTTAACCAATAATTTAAGCACATAAAAAAAACTAATGTATGCATCACCTCCAGGTCAAACTTAACGCAACGCTTTGCTGGCACGGACAGTGCTATCGAGCAAATGGGAGAACTACCGCCTTTGACCTTCAAAAATAGAGCTGTTATTGATGGACAGGGGTTTGTAAATGAACTCGCTGATCTGAGGTGAGTGGATCCCAAAAGGAGTATAAATTTTTGCCACGAAAGTACAATCTACCCAATATATTCCGTTTCATATTTTAGTATAATATATGTATATATATATATTAGACCTCTATATAGAGGTCTAACCTTGTTTATATCTTATGCTGTTGAAATATACGTCAAAAAATATTATTCATCACCAGCCTGGCAGCGAGATATAGAAATGTTTACGATAATTAACATTCTTTATACAGAAATTAATGATGATGAAAACTCTAGTAAATAATAAGGCTTAATTTACCTTCTACCATTTAAGATTTCCTTTAGAATTAATAAAACAGTTCGATGATCCTATAAATTAATTTAAGAAGTAAACTTTTCAGTGGACTCTATTGCGATAGATTTCAATTACAGTACATTCACACAGTAAGATGTAGCGAATGAACAATTAATCTTAGTTTGTATAGAGAGACGTTCAAGGTGTTATATTGGAAACACACGGGTTGGTTTTGTGTTTAATTTATTAATATTACATCTTCAGACATATATTAATGATTTATTCGTGAAGCTGAATGAAAAGCTATAAAATTTATTAAATGATCGTATATAATTTCTTATAGTTATTTCTTAAAAGTGCTTTTACGTATATATACGATACGTTTTTCCAAATATTTTTTTTTTATTAAAGTTGAATGGCGAATTCCGTTCTGTGTGTTCTTATAAAACTTGAACCAGATTTATTATTGGAATCAAGGAAATTTTTGCATCACTCGTAGTTTTGATTACTTTTAATACTTTTTTAAAATTAATAACTTTATTATAAGTTTTGGTGTACTATACTAATGTTACAATACTTAAGGAATATAATACAGTACCTTTCGATTTTTCTTAGCTAAAATACATTAAAATTTGTCAGATAAAAAATGTTGTCACAAGAAATTTTTATTAATGATATTTTAAGAGTAAACACAATCATCTTTCATAATTGAATGCTGAAAGAGATAATTTTAAAATTTAACATCAAACAAGTCTAATTAAGGAGGCGTGGGAATTTCCGAAATTATCTAAAAAGTATTTATATTTTTAATAGAAGTAAATAAAAGCTATGTCTACGTGTTATCTCTTAAAAGTAAAATTATAAAAGGTGTTTAAAAAAATATATGTTTCTATATAAAAATAAAACAAGCTTTAATTACATCAAAAAGGTTTTAATAATATTCAACTTTTATAAATGACTTTCTTTTGAAGAAATTTAATTGCAATCAAACAGAACATAATTAAGAATTTCCTTGTTTTTATACTGTTTTATATATTTTTTCTTTCGAAATTTTTGTACAAAAGTGTGTTATAATGTATTTTGTGTTTTATCCATACTGTAAGAATTGTAAGAGGTGTTCGATAAAAAAAGCTATTGAAATCTTTACTCTTATGAAAAATAACGTTAAAATTGCGAAATAACGATCGAATTTTGCTAAGTACTTTTTAACATAACAATTATGGGGAGAAGTTCTGTAATGAATTTATTCTTTTAATATTCTATAAAAGTAAATGTCTTTTTAATATGTTTTTAATTCCAAACCGTGTTAATGCAGTCAAATGAATTCATATAAATGGCATATGGTATTCTTCTAATGCGTTTTGTCTAGGCGCGCCTGCACGCAAATGTGTTTGCAATAGTTATAACTTCATAAAACATACCTCAATTGCCCTCTTAATGACCACATTTACAATTCACTCCATTTGACGGATCATGATGTAGGCAAACAGTTCTGTAACAGGAAACTAGTTGAACGTCATAACTCAATTATAGCAATCAATATTACAGAATCATCAAAGCCTTTATTGCATTCGAATGATTGAATTAATTTTTGTAATTTAATTGACAGATATATCTTCTCATTGCTTAAGATAGATCGTAAACCCAATAGTATGTATTCTTATCAAAAAACTATTACTTTCCGAAGTTTTGCTTATTCGCTTGTATTAGTTACTAGAAGTAAGAAAAATAACACGAAATTATACACGATAAAATCTTATAATATACAGAGCTAACTATTACCTAATTCAGTTAGTATAAAGCAGTTAATTCACATGTATTTTTATAAAGTGATATACAATTATACAATAGATTTATAGATTGTATCCCCTAAACCTACCCCAGGGCCCTGAAATGACCTACTTGTGGCCCCCACCTGCTTTCTCAATGTAAATTAGATACAGCGACGTACGATTTAACTGGCACTTCGCTTTATTAATGTTATGTGTCAGTGGAGTTTATTTAAAAGAAAACTCACATGAATTTTTGTTGTCACATGTTTTAAGTTATTTATATACATATCTGTTATTTAAGGATCAATGAATCGTGTTTATTCATTTATTAAATTCACATTTATCAACTATTTTAAGTTACCTTATGACGTTTTTCTAAATATTGTTTCGCCAATAAAAAGTACATTAATAGGATAGTCACAAATAAAATAGATACTATATCTGGTTGCCCTCAAATAGAGGTTTTTATTAAGTTTAAAGTTATTTGATATTATTTTGATAATTATGTTTTATAAAAGTAACATCAAGGTACTATTTTACTAATTCTGATTTCGGTCGAAGTGCTGTATAATTGTAATAACTAAAGGAAAAATAAAAGATTTTTAAGTGACATTTATTCACTAACAATTATTCACTGTTGATTAAGCGAAAACTAACCTTTTTATCTTCAACCACTTGTAATCTATTCAAACATAATTTTATACTAGAAAATATGACGGCTAGAAAGCGAGGCGCAGTGTCAATTACTTGTATAGGGAAATTAACATAAAGTTATTCATTATTGTGTTATTGAAGGGTGCATGTAATATAAGCTAACATAAACTATGGGTGCGGTACGAGCAATTCATTAAAAGTATAACTCAAAAAATTGGTGAAACCAATACATCAGCTTACATTAATTATTTCATAATTTTAATATGACATTGTATCGTAAAAGATGATTGATTGATTAATTATTGTTGCGTACTATCATATTTTCCTACAATAGTTACTTATAAAAATTTGTAAGTATATGCGTAGGTTATAAAAGATGCATTTGTTGAATTAAGAATGCTTTGATAGAGATTTTTTATAAGGAAATTCGTATTACCGTTCACATTCTAGACTTAGTGGTGATTCAGTATTTTCTTTCACTCACTCTTATCTTTATATTAGATATTCATTAAATCACAAAAATTATATGCAAAATCCAAACACACATTCTTTAATAGAAGCAATAATTCGTTCCATCAATAACTTTCAAACAATACAAAGTAAAAATTCATGTTTTAGAAGTGCTTTGTGACATTAAATAAGAATTTCTTAAATAATTTTAGATTATTTTAATATTCTTTACTTTTGAATATTTAAATAATATGAAAACATTTGGAAAGAAAATAAAATTATTTGACTTAAATGAATCCCACTTTTTAAATGAATACTCGTGAAAGTCTTAGATTTCACAATTCTTTTACTGTACAAACCTTTAGAACCAAATACCCAAATGTGTGTTATGTAAAGTTACAGTAATTGTTTCACACAGAGCCAAAATAAATTCCGGCACGTCGATGACGGAGGTCGTGGAGTGGTATACGAATGCCAACGCGGCACTCCTGACACATCTCACCAAAGAAATTAAGGACACTGATAGCAGTACTATATGGAGGTAAGACCAGTTGTGTAATAACTCTTATCTTTCAGTATACATCTTTTTACCTATTCATGTTTATCGATATAAAAGACATATGTCTTCTTCTTCTACCTGGCAATTTCCCAGCTTTAGCCAGGGTCTGCCTTACATGTTGTAAATAGTTTTGGCTAATTGTTTTACGACCGGCCGCCTACCTGACATCAGCCCTCTTTTGGGAATCAGCATTAATCAGTGATGTCTAAATAATCTTAGAAAGTACATATGATTCGGAAAAATCACATTGGTACTTGCTCGGGCCAGTATCGAACCCGCGCTCTCGGCAACGAGAAGCGGGTTCTTTAACCACTAGGCCATCACTGACTTATATAAAAGACATATGTATTTAAATGAAACTAATTTTCGGATTTACTACGCGATTTTTATTTTTGATTACAAACTACATACCGTGATCACGGACAGACGATGTATGTACATATGTATATTTATATATTACTTATGATGTATAGATTTTGCCGGCCTTCTTTTTCTTTATCTCGTAATCAATTTAATTTATTGTCTTTTTTCTGAATTAGTATGGAAGTAGTTTATCGAATCAATTTCATTGGATAAATCCATTATCTTGGTGATTATTAATATGATAGTATTAAGTGTTTGTTGTTTTTGTCTATATCAGTTGTTAGATACTTAGTCAAACAAAATCATCCATTATTCATAAACTATACAATTTTCTTTACTGTAATGTACTCCATACATTCTAAAATTTTCATATATCTTATTTATAGAACACTTTCTGTGAATTGAATTCTTAAACAGCTTATTATATTTTGTAATTTTCAATTTTATTTTTCATATTAATGTTAGTATTTTATTAGATAGATGAGTTTAAAATGGATAACTTTTATAATGATTGAAAATACATTATAAAGTTTTGAAGTAGTTATTAATATTCCGAATAAAACATTAATCTCAATGTCATTACTTGAATCATAAAAATGAAATAAAAACTTGATGTCAACATATAAAGAAACGAATGTTTTGTTTTAGAGGGGTGTAAAAATAATTACATTGTAATAAACTTTATGTATTTCTGTTAAAGTTACGTTAAATAGAAAATCAACATCTTGTGACATGAAATTATTTTTTTAACATATATTTGTGATGAAATTTGATGACATCAGATACAAAAAAAGAGTTTGTGGATATAAATTACAAGTCAGTATAGTTTCCCTTTTTCTTTATATTTAATTCATTAAGTGGAAGTATATGAAAAACATAAGCTATAAGAAGCAAGTTAATTCAGTCTACATATATTTATATTCCCTCAAGTGCTTTCTTCTGATAATTAACTAAAACAAAATGAGAATTATTCATTTGTCTCTTTAACTTTCTGTTTGGCCGGATTTCTTTGAGCCTTTGAATTACTTAATCGATTTTAATGATCTGCACTGCTTCTAAAGGAAGTTTTAGAGTAACACGCAGTTGATAAACCAAGAAGTAAACAGTGTTTCGTAAGAAACTTCGATGCCTTGTGTATAGCGAAAATCATTGGATAAGTTTACTTATATCATAATTTCTGATTGTTGACTTAGAAACTTTGATTTACTCGTAAGTAAACTTATCTGTATACATTTAAACCAATCAGTTAAGTTTCTGATATAATTTTCCAACCTATCACCTATTAAGGTTGAATTTACTTGACCTGCATGAATTTCAAGATGCAATCATGACGTTCGGAAGAAAGTGGGTCGTAAAGACTCCCTTTGAACACACTTAATTAGATACTCTATTATTTGTTTTAATAACATTATTGGCGCAGTCTCGATGCTTTGATATCATCTTTGTTATTAAGCCAAGTTCATAATAAAAGCTTCTATGTTCGGCTAATCTGTAAGTGTGTTTGTAAAACCGCTTTATATTAAAGAAAAGGTTTCATATTTAGATTGAGTTTTTTGCCATGAAAAGCTACAATAACGGTCTTCTGTAACAAAAATATTAATTTACAATTTAATTTTTTAAAGCAGGTTAAACATTTTATAAAAATATATTGAGTTAAAAATTAAATAAAACAGTTCGATTATCATTTTATTAGACACATTTAGTTCAGCCACTTATAATTTCAATTCATTTAAGTTGATTTTAACATAAAGTGCTTTTTACAAACTAATTACTCCTGCATTACTTTAGTCCTTGACTCAAACTTTGGCATATTGCCAATTTAATTTAATTTGTTCTGTTACTCGTTCCATACTAAGGAAGAATAATAGAAATGCTCGGAAGTTTAGAAGTAAAGCATTACATATTAACATATGTATATCAAGTGGTGGCATTAGTTTAAAACAAATCAAATTAAAACAGTAAGAGAGATGTATAATATATATGGATATACAGTTTTTATGTAAGAGGGACTTATTTCAAATGTCCCTCAATTAATTAATTCGTACATATGACTCAAGCCATACACATCATAAAGTATATCTTCAACAATGAACCCACCCCATGACACATAACAATAAAAAACTCAATTTATGAGTCACACTTCTTCACCATAATAAGGATCAAACAGCGTGCAACATTTATTGAATAAGTCACTTGGATTTAATTTGATTGGGTTAAATATGAGATGCGCACGCGCAGAGGTGCCAATAATATGTAAAATCTCATTAGTTTTTATAAATTTTGCTAGCACTTTGAGTTCATTTTAACAAAACCACTGAATAACGTCATAATAATGAGACGAAACTTCTCAGCAGTCCATGGATTCACCGTGCGGGTGCCGGGTCTATCGCGTTGCAGGGACTATTATTAGATTGTTAAATCTGTGTTTTTGTACATACTTATGTTGAAAGTACTGAAGAAATTTTGTTACAATTTTGTATAAAATACTTCAATCTTTAATATTTTATTCTTATACTCTTAACTAAGAAGTTATAAATTTCTAATAATGTGCGATGAAATGTATACAAAATGCAATATATATAGTAGATAATTTTATTTACATGGTTTGTACAAATTTATATATGCATATATCAGATTATAATGAAGTAAAGTAACCAAAATTAACTGAATATATTTATAACGCTCTTCTATTCGTTGTAACATTTATCTAAAAGGCATGGTCTTTGATTACCTAAATACATTCTTAATGGTAGATAATATGAATTTGTCGAACAAATATTTATGTACATTACATATAAATGTATGGAAGAAAACAGTTTCAGGCTTAAATTTTAATCAAAATAATTCCATGGCCATTTGAAGTATAAAATTATGTAAAATTAATTTGTTGTTCATTGACAAAAATAACAGAAAATTACATTTAGAACAATCTATTCCTTGTAAAAATATCTTTATATTTCCAATTTCTTTGAACAACTATTTATTTGCCTACAGATATTTGGTTGGTTTCAAAAATTTACTTCGGAGTGTCGAATGTAAGGGCATCGCTTCTGTGTTGGGCATTAATTACTTCGCAAGGGGTTTTCTACAGCCAAGAGCACATGAAAAGTAAGTATATAAGTAAATTATTTTCATTATAAATCATAATATAATCTATAAATAAATATGAAATAATCTTTTTTATTCATTTGAAAGTAATATTAAATACTAACTACATATATTTTATTTCTAGATATATAAGCCACATGGTTTTAGGAAGGGATCTTCTTGACAATACACTGAATCTTGTGCCATCCCTCATTCCACTCCTCATGGATATAAAAGAGGACAGCCCAGAGTACCAGGTATTAGAAAAGAAGTAAGTATGGTTATTATGAAACATTCTTTATATAGATTCAAACGTTTATATATAATTTAATGTATGTAAATATTCCTTGAGAAATTTATTACCAAATTTAATGAGAACTTTTACCTAAATGATATTTAAGCATAATGTTTTATCACGTTGAAGCTATTAGTAGAATATATAATTATAAGATTAGCAATAGTCTAAGATGAGTTCTAAACTAAGATGAGTTCTAAACTAGCCTAGTCTTATTAACCAATAACCTTTATAACAAACCATCACTGTGAATATTATGATTACTTGATGAACACTTAAAAGCAAAAAAACATTTACCCTAATTCCTTTTCTCCATACTTTGGTAAGCAGAAAAAACTTATTTATTTTATACCACCTGCAAATGAACTCTTAAAAAGTATCTATCGACGTGCCAACTTCGTGATAACATTTTACGATTACGAGTTAATTTACGACGGACTAAATGAAGGTTGCCAAAATATTTTAATATAACGATTTAGAAATAATCTGTTCAACAAAATCTAAATAAATTTCCTTGTAACTTGATCGCTGGAAATCACTGCTCTCAAATTTCCTCGAAATAAGATAACTCAATAAGCATGAAAATCAACAGGGAAAACAACATTTTGCAATAATTCCATCCGTAAAATATAATACAGCTGTTTCGAATTTCTATAAAATTGTAATCCGACCAACCAATGTTTTGATTAAATCTTCTTATTTAATTTTGTTACTCAACCACCTAAATTCACCAATTCCATAAATTGAAAATCAAATACTTGCAACTGAATTCGCTTTGCGTTTGAAGCAAATGTAAAGTACAATTGCTCACTCGACCTGATTATAATATTTAATGGATTATGCTTATATGTTGTGTATAATTGTGGTCTTTATCATCTATCTGGTAATTTCCAAGCTTTAGCCAGGGTCTGCCTTACATGTTGTGAATAGTTTTGGCTAATTGTTTTTACGACCGGCCGCCTGCCTGACATCAACTCTCTTTGGGAATGCATTAATCAGTGATGTCTTAATACTTTTAGAAAGTACATATGACTCGGAAAAATCATATTGGTACTTGCCTGGGCCAGGATCGAACCCACGCCCTCTGCATGAGAGGAGTTTCTTTTAACCACTAGGCCAATACTGACTTAATTATGATCTTTATCTATTTATATATATATATATATATATATATATTTAGTTGTACATTTCTGCAATATATCCTACATATATCCTAAAGCACCTACTAACTTCAATAATTTGCTCCTCTTATTTCATCTTATTAAACTGATCTTATGAAAATAATCTTCTATATATATAAAAATGGATTGCTGTTCCTTAGTCTCGCTAAAACTCGAGAACAGCTAAACGGATTTATCTTAACTTAGTCTTGAAATGTTCGTGGAGGTTCAGGGAAGGTATAAAAGCTGAAAAAAATTTATTCATTACTGGGAAAACCATAAAAACAGCCCTTTTCTATTTCCCATACAAACGTTTTTTTTTGACATTAGATTTGACAACTAACTAATATGTCAATCATTCTGTTCGATTGAAACAGGAAAAACTTGATTATTTATGGCCTCTAGGTCGGAATAGAGTTCGCCCGGTCAGCTATACATATATTACTAATGATGAAATTAACGCGGACGAAGTCGCGGGCAAAAACTAGTTACCAATATATATGATGATATTTTCAATAGTAAAATGCAAAAATATTTTCTAATAAATCGTCTTCATTTCCTATAACCATTGTATTTTTTTGCTGAAATAACTTTAAAATTGTTTTGCAATGAAATTAGCCAATCTCTCTCAATTGAATGATTCCGTTCAACCTTCTTCAGATTATTGGAAATATAAAGACAGACAACTATTTTCATTTTATTTTTTTGTTTAGTTACTCTCATAGAAAAGGAATTTGCAATGCATATATTTTTCATCACTAACGGGTACTTTAATTGTTTTAGTAGAGGCATACGAACACTTAAAAGACTTAAAATATGTTACGAAATATCTCTCAGTCTGTTTGCAGCATCATAACATCAAAAATATATATATAAGAAAGTGTTTTTAAATATATCACAACATTCATATTTATGATTAATTTTGAATAAGTAGTTCAGAAAAATAGTTACACTAAAATATAAGAAATTGTTTATTCACTTGAATATGGACAACAACAACAGCCCCTTAAGATTGATTTTGAACTATCAATAAGGCTTGCGGTTTAAACTGTATAATATACAACTGTTAACTTATTTTATAATTCAGTTAAACTTAAAGTTGCAAATGTTCTTTGAATTCTATTTTCTCATTTCATAAAATCCTATCCTTTCATATTGTAACAGTCTATCATACAATTTCTTTATAACATTATTTATGTATTTTTGTAGTAAAATAATAAAATGTTAATAATATATAAATAAATAAAATGAACTATGACTTCGACTGAAAGTTCGCCAGGAAAAGTATTATTGAAATCAAAGTGCCGCTTAAAACTACAGCTATTTACATTATCACAAAAAATGTCTTATTTTCTCACTGTACACAGAGATATACATGCCATCAAAAGATGTTAGCTCTTTTTCCACCGAATTTCTTCGATCTGAGTCGGAATACAAACAAATTAATTCAGAGCACGGAAACAGATCTACAAATATACTGTAAACAACCGAATTGAATTCACAGGGAACAAAAAATATTAAAGTGGAATTATGTATATTAATATTTGTGTTCTTTTCACCTTTCGTTTATTTTGTTCTTTAAATTGTATAAATACAGCCTTAAATAAATACTCTCATAATGACAAACTAAGCTTTGAAATAACGAAATTCGAACCGATTTTGAAATGCATTGATTATAAAAATTACATTTTCATAAAATACTTTCAATCAAGTTCAATATTTAATAATCGAGACTCACAAATAACCACATTAAAGAAGTTCAAACTAATTTGTTTTTCAAGTTTAAACTAAGTTCAAACTATTTTATTATTCAAATTAATTTGTTTTTCTCAGGAATCAAAGAATTGTTGACAACAAGCCCCACGCTGGAAGTGTCGGTGAGGCAATAGAATACTTCGACCAAACCGCGACTTTGCTTGGAAAATTAAGGGCTGTTCAGAAGCAATTAAGAGAATACATACGGTAATATATTTTATATATACATAGTAATAAAATTAAAATATTCCATAATCATTTTAAATCATAGTAAAAAAAACAATCCTCAGATCAACACTAAGGTTCCTTTAAAGTATTCTTATCCTGATTTAATTTTACTTTATAATAATTTTACCGTACTACGTTTTAATTTAAACTATTAAATGACAAGTTAAAAGAAATGAATGGAAAAGGATTTTTTAATGACAATGTGCATATAGTCAACGTTTTTTATATAAAGTATATGTATATAATTTATATACTGTGTGTCACAATAATATACAATAAGAATCACGATCAGGGCTCGAAGGTACGACTACTGAAAATCTATCCCTATAGCTCTATAGAGCACACAAACAACTCGAATCCTATAATTTAATACACTAATTAATGCAAGTGTTTCCAGTGAGGGCGTCAATGAAAGTCTCCGAGAAGCTCGACGCAGTGAGGCTGTATGTGGTGGTATATTGGTGCTAGTGTGCGTGGTGTCACCCATCATTATTGCGTTGGTTAGGAACGCCGTCAATACTATACAGGTAAATTATAAATGTTTGTATTTTGTAACGCAATCACATGAAATCTAAACAACCTAAACTATTACATGTATATTTTAATGCTTCATACACCGGTAGGTATATCATTAATAAATAAACTTGCAATTACTATTATTAGGCTCTTAGTAAAATATTTAAATTTTAATACATGTACTTGACATGTAAAAACCAAAGATGACAACAACTTACATACTTTCATTCAGAGTCATAGTTTGCGAAATTGACTACGTCATGACAGACGGACATACTGACGGAAACGGATTTAAAAACTTCACTTTAAGGACGAAAACTGCGTCCAAAAGTTAATTTATTTAGTTAACCTAGATCTTCATATAAGTTCAATGTCACGGACAAGCAACATCTCGATCGAAATGTGATATAATCGTGTTAAGCAACTTATGATTACGAAGAAATACCGCCGCGGTGAATATCACGAGCTAAAAATATCACCCACGTGCTCAGTAGTAAACGTAACATTATGTACATACATAATTTTATAGCAGAGAATAATTACTGTTTGAGGAAACTATTCAACATATTTTCCAATTAACAATTCCCTATGATAAAACATGGCTTGGATAAAACCGATGTTCTGATTAAATATTGCAATGTATTTGACAGTTACAGAATTAAGCTAATATATACAAATAAAAAAATGTGAATATTTCTTCCGGTCATTAATTAACATTAAATTTTTATAATAATTTGTGTGCATCTTAACTGAATGAAACCATTTTTTTTATTTAATTTCAAAGTAACATATTAAGTAAAGGAGGAAAATCGTCACTTTAATTTGTATGCATACTATAATATACATTAGCTGGATGTAATATGTATGTGTTTAACTCTGACGTCACCAATACGTACAGATATATTATTTTGGCATTTAGCTGTATTTAATTATTTTTCCTATTTATAATGTTAATTAACATTTTCTTCAAAAAAGAGGTGACTTATGGGTGGTCGTCAAGTTACCAACTTGCTAATTGATTTTTTGGTTGATTAGAAAAATACTTAAAATATATCTTAAATACATTATCACAACATTGGAATTTTTTTAATGTCCCAAAACGACAAACGAGTCGGGCTATCTAATAATAAGCGATCACCATCGCCCATGGATATTTTACACGGAGAGTGCAAAACACATGGCCGGCCTAAAAGAATACATATATGATAAAAGGCATTTTGGTTGATGTAGATACCTTTCTCCCCTATGGCGGTGAATCCGGTGGTATAATTGTGAAACGGTTATATTAAACTCATTTCAGAAGATTTCCCATACTACAGAACCCAATATACATAAAGTTAGATAATGGGCCTTCGGAGGCCTAAATGTTATCAATTATCTGTGATTATAGAAACGTTTCCAATTCCAACTGGTCGATGTTGTATAGAGTCAAGAGGAAGAAGTTTATTCTGCAGAGAAGTGAATCAGAGGTTTGAATAATACTCCAAGTGGGCACGAACCTGTACTTAGTATAGTAAAAAGCAGGTGCCCTGATGTTAAGTAACGCCTTACTATACTCGGTACATCCGTCTATTCGACGTTAAGACCTATTCTCCAAATGAGTCAAAAATCTTCAATTTATGCTCTTGCCGATCTTAACGAGAGTGCTTGTTGGAAAAAGTATAAAAAAGTTGGAAAGCAGACAATGCAGGACCTGGGTACAGCATTATATTTTCTTTTGCCTTTACCACTATGAGTCCTGTAAAATCACATATACTGGATGCGAGTCAGGCCACCTTAATCTACACGCTCGCAAAGAAGGTCTTCTTGATCAAGTCTGTTAAGGCAATGAAATGAAAAACATTCCTTAAATTACAAGCATACTCCAGATCGATGGAAAAAGTTGTATTTAAGTTTCTATCCGGGATAATAAAGGTACGATGTGTCACCAGAATTAGTCCTTGATCTTATTTGAGTTCATTACCTCAGACAAGCAAGGTCCCGATCACGATGCAATATACGTAATCTGTATATCTTTATCAATTGACAATTCTGAGAAAAACCATGCACGATGAATATTACAAAATAAAAATTATATACTGATTTTTTCTTTATAACTTACTTATATTTGAAACGGACATTAAAGTGGCCGTTATTCTCATCTTAGGAAATCGAGAGTTTAATTTCAAAAAAGACTATACGATGAGTTAATCTATAATAATGTATTATTAATTTAAACATAAAGATCTCCTGTTTCGACATTTTATTATTACATAATATATACATACTTGTACATATACATATTTTAGAAATTCAACTCTACTTTCGTGCTTGTTTCCATCAAGTAGAATAAAAAAAGTAGTAGTAGTAAAAATAGAAGTGTAATGCACATCTTTTCAATAAAAATATTTTTTAATTATAAAAGATTCGTCGATGACAAAAAAAATATGACATACTTAAAAAATAAAACAGAAAGTCTATGAATAAATTTTATTTCACAAAATTTTATATATTAAAATAATTCATAAAAAAAAACTTAGTCTTTAAAGCGTTTGTAAACGTTTACAAAATAAAAAATACTAGATACACGTCCATTTTGACTAAAACAATGTATTTATATAAAATAAATTAAGTCATATTCTACTATACAATTAAAATTATATAGAGAATTTACAAACATACAACTAAAACTCGCCTTTATTGACTGTGTAAAATTACAATAAATAAATATACATAACAGTCTTTGTTTAAGGAATGCTTTATGGATTTCAATATGCTGAAAGCCGAAGTTATGCCGGATATTTGGCTTCGATAAGCTTCAACTGGATCAGTGTTTTTTTCTGAAATAAAAAAAATGCATATATTTATCGTCCTAGCAATTTTTTAATCTTAATATTATATTTTACTGTCTAAAGTCTAAACTACTCTCGCAAATAAATAATCAAAAATCTAACCGATATAAAAAATATTATTAATATTACAAAAAATATCGAAATACCAACCATCTCAACGTGGACGTCTTTTGGCTGATGATGAACCATCTCAACACAAAATATTCCCTTCCTAATAGTTCCTAAAGGACACTGTCCTGATTGGATGGTAGAGCGTTTAGTTCTTAACACCTCACTGTACAATGAATTCGTTTTATCCATATCTTTCAAAACTTGGTCATTATTCAACCAAAGCGCCATGCAACTTGCGTTCAATATGATCGCGAGACACAAAATGACTAGTAAAATTGACCTCATCTTAGGAGCTCTGCCGTAGCACTACTGGCTAATGGATATTGTGGACACTTTTATTATAGCACGTGAATCACACCAACATTATTTTACGCTCAGATTTGCATGATTTTTTCCTGCGGGAGGTTTTGTAGTCAATTCATTAATCAAATTGTATTTCATTTTTAAAAAAAACGTCATTTTAATATCGGCACATCGAGTAAACCGTTCTAACACAAGACTAAGCCAAACATGTTTCTCAACATAAAAAAAGAGTTAGATCTTAATTTGTTATTAAAACACACAAATGCATGCGCACAGACCACACACGCACACACACACACACTTACACATTCGCACACACAAGCGCACACGCACAACGAATAGTCTTACTTATTAATTTTGTGATCCGTAATTAATTAATACTTTAGGCATGTTTATGTTTATACTTTAACTGTATAATCCTGTATTGTTTAGAGTTACTTTTGTCCTGTAAGCACTATTGGATAACCGAAATAAATAAATAAATAAATGATTTACCTAAAATAACATACGGGACTGGAATCAGTTGCCAGATAATATACGTCATGATTGTGAGCACTCATAATACATATAACAACAGTAAACAAATTTAAAGAAATTGAACTAAACAGAACCAACATTCCAATTATGAAATATCCTTATGATTAAAGAAATATTATGAAATTGTTTGCCACTTATTATCGGATTTAATAGGTCTCAATAATGTAACTGACATTCTCACGAGCATGACATAATATTAGTTCATTACAAAAAAAATCGATTTCTCATTAAAAAAATATAAATATTATCTTCTATATATATAAAAATGGATTGCTGTTCCTTAGTCTCGCTAAAACTCGAGAACGGCTGAACCGATTTGGCTAATTTTAGTCTTGAAATACTCCTGAAAGTCCAGGGAAGGTTTAAAAGGTGAGAAAAATTGGAATAATGGCCGGGAAAACCCTAAAAACAGCTCTTTTCTATTTCCCATACAAACGTTTTTTTTGACATTAGATTTGACAACTAACTAATAAGTCAATCATTCTGTTTGATTGAAACAGGAAAAACCTGATTATTTATGGTCAGCTATACCTACATATATTACTCTTGACCAAACTAACGCGGACGAAGTTGCGGGCAAAAACTAGTTTATAATAATTATGATTGGTAAACTTAAGCCATAATTTTTTTTATGTTTTAGATATACGCTCGCAACCTGTCAGAGAAAGCAAGGGAATTGGAATATGAAAAAGAGTTGAGTGATTCTTTGCTTTACCAAATGCTGCCAGCCAGCGTTGCCAAACAGCTGAAACAAACGCAACAGGTTGACTATACTTCTATTACATCGTAATTTTTTCCTTGCAATGAAAAATGTGCTTTTTAAATCCATTAACACATAATTATATAGACAAATATATACGACTTGGTCGTGAAAAAAGTTCATTGTAATAAAAATGTGTTCAATTATAAAAAATGTGGCTAGATATATGTATTTCAATACTGCGTAATCTTCTATATATATAAAAATGGATTGCTGTTCCTTAGTCTCGCTAAAACTCGAGAACAACTGAACGGATTTATCTTATCTTAGTCTTGAAATGTTCGTGGAGGTTCAGGGAAGGTATAAAAGCTGAAAAAAATTTATTCATTACTGGGAAAACCATAAAAACAGCCCATTTCTATTTCCCATACAAACGTTTTTTTTTGACATTAGATTTGACAACTAACTAATATGTCAATCATTCTGTCGCACTTCAAAACACGGAGATTTATGGCTTACAGGTAAACTCCAAAACTATAAAAAAAAAACGTAATAGATATTTCTTGATTATAGGGCGATAAGAAGTTCGCCAGGTCTTCTAGTGAATCATAATATTTGTATGACTTCCCCAAACTTAAGTTGGGAATGAAGTAATTTTTTCAAAGTTTTATATTTAATATGTAATAAAATTAGTGCTCACTTTGCAAGGTTTCTCTAACAACCTTGGAATGATTGAAAAACGTATTATAATTAATATTTCGCGTTACTTTCACTTTAGAACATACTTTTTAATGAACAAAGTGTTCTCAAATTGAGATTATAAAAATAATTATAATTCTACGTCAAATCTATTACAGACGAAACAAAATATTGCAGAATATTTGTGTCTAAAAACATATTATGGCTGTCCATTGTTGCTATTTATTTAATATTTCCAAAGTCAAAACAATGAAAATTTTCAAACAAGTATGTAGTAAACAACTTCATACAAGGAAATGTATCACTTCCATTAACTTTCAGGTTTTGTTCTTCTTTAGTAATGTATAACTACTCGTATCCACATGCAAATATATATACATATACTAGCTTTTGCCGCGGCTTCGTCCGCGTGGAATAGTTACTTCCGACAGATTTTTGGTTCTTCCGACATTCTTGTTCCCGTTCTTGAAGGGGTTTTCGGAATGATCGAGTTCCCGTAGAATTTTCAGGATAAAACCTATGTTATTTTTAAATTAATAATGAAGTACTCTTAACCAACAACATATTTATTTGTTTATTTGAATAAAGATTAATATTATTATGTTGATACAACTTAACCAAATTATTTCGACCAAATTAGGTACCATAAAAACGGTTTTTGTGAGTTATTCTTAAAAGATAGACATATACTGTCGCGGATTGTTTTTTAGATCATTAAAAGAGCTATTATTCTTTAATACATATTTTTTGTGTATCTTGAACCGTTTTCACGGCGCACGGAACGGAAGGCTTCAAAGATGAAATAATTTCTCCCGTTTTTTACACATTTACCACTATATCTTTGTTCCTATTGGTCGTAGCGTGATGTTATATAGCCCACAGCCTTCCTCGATAACTGGACTATCCAACACAAAAAGAATTATTCAATTCGAACCAGTAGTTTCGGAGATTAGCGCTTTCAAACAAACAAACAAACAAACAAACTCTTCAGCTTTATAATATTAGTATAGATATACAACATGCAAGTATTCCATTTGTTTTGTACTATTATGGAGATATTATACAATTTATAACACTATACTCAATCTAAGTTTTTTAATTTATATGCATTTCTTATTAGTCGTTAATTCAAGCAAAATTCAATGAAACCGTGGTCTCTTTCTTTGAAGTTGGTTCAACTTAAGATAATATATATTTTTTTTATTGTAACTGACGCTATACATACATAGGTGCCCGCTGAGTTCTTCGCGTCAGTAACTGTGTACTTCAGTGACATAGTTGGCTTCACAGCTATCGCTGCCGTGTCTACACCCTACCAGGTAATACGGTAGCTTATAAGAAATATTCTTAGAAATATCTCTTTATATAAATACGTTTTATATCAAATACAATGATATATGTTGTATTCATAATTTTAAGCTATATTCATACTTCTGCATAAAACTCTAATATTCAATTCATAAAAAACTATGCCACGTGTTTTTGTAATTAGTTATTACTCTGGTCGAAAGAACTGACGATTTACTATTCAATTTTTTCCTTATGTTGACTCTTACTTCGTCTGTATGCTTTTCGATGCTAAATCATAATAATTATGGAAACCGTTGTGCAAATAGTAATTTGTGGCTGCGAGACACTAATAATATAAATATTTACCATACACAATTCATTACATTAAAAAAGTTTATTGCAATTTTTTTAGTCACAGTATCTCGTCTGAGACCTGAAATTATGTTTTTTTTTAACTATACCGATTACATTTATATCTGATTTAATGTCTTCTGATACTTTAGTTCTTTATGTAAAAATAATAAAGTAAATTCCCAAGTAACTTTAAGAACTGCCTTCATATAATATAGCATTTTAACTGTAACCTGCGCCCCTGCTTTATACACTCTTGTACAAACACACTTTAAGTAACTGTCAGTTGTTTTACTTGTGTCCATCAGTTGTTCAAAGCCAAGGACATTACATGAGTAAGCTATAATAACGACAATTTGTGAATTGTCACTGAGATTTCAATTTACCAATTGTAAAGCAATTTGCCACTTAATACACTGACATAGTCAAATACGTCATGAATGACACGTCACGCTTTGATTACGTCAATAAGGAATGTGTGACACTGAAAAATATGTTAAATCGATTTAATTTCTACTGGTGTTCAAAGGTTGAACTTATGACTTATATTACCGCAATAATATATATATTTTAGTGGCTTAAAACAGATGGGCGTATGACTCCTTAAAATGACCAAAGTCAGGTATTGAAAGAAAAACAACTGTAGAGGATACAATGTAAAAGAATTTTATTTTGGTCTAAAATGATTTCTGTTTGTGTTATTATTCTGAGTTTTTCTCAGTTATAAGTCTTTTAGAATATATACGAAGATTATGTTATTAATTCTCCTTTAGCCGATATAATAACGGCATAGCAACTACATATTATTCAGAACTTCATCCCTTTATTTCTTTATTTATTTTTTAATGATATCTTATTCTTATTGATATTAAATTAAAGTTTATAAAGAAAATGTTATAAAATTTTGATTCGTCTCAGCAGAACTACATAACCAAATCAGTGGTAACCAACTAATGGTCCTAAATAAGTTAATTTTAGATATTCTTTTACAAAACAAGTAAAAAAAGAAGTTGAAAATATATTATTAATTATAAAATTCTGTCTATTTTTATGTCACTTTGTGTAATTTACCACAATTTTGTTACCCACCAACCAATATATGCTCAATTGTGGGTTGCGCCAAATTTTCCTTCTACGTCAACATTGCTTTGAACGATTCACAGACTATTAAAATTTAATTTAACTAATATCATATATATTTTTTTTAAGGTTATAAGTTTTTTGAACTCCGTGTACAAACTGTTCGATGAACGCATCGAGTGCTATGATGTTTACAAAATAGAAACAATTGGTGACTCCTACATGGTAGCGTCAGGACTTCCCGTCAGGAACGGTAATTATTTTCGTTATTATGTTTTTGTTTTTATTAGTATTTAAATCGTATACATTGTCATTTATACAAAACACGTTGTTTTTAAATCGAATGATTCAACAAACAAATTGGAAATTTATTTCCATCTATAAATAATGCATATAATTGTTAGTTGAGGATTTTGGATGACAGTACAATATTTAATAATACCTAACCGCATGAATGAAATTCAGTGACGAAAATCAATACAAAGAAATTCAGTGGACGAATTTGTATTGTGTAAGGAAAAGTCACGCGAAATTATTAAACTTTATTTTTAATTGAAATAAATGAAATATTCGACAATCGTAGATATCAATATCTTGTCATGTACAGTTCTGATGCTTTTAAACTTTAAAATTATCATATCTACTTGTATTGTAACTTTTAGTGGCAGTTATAAAAATCGTTTAGACTAGAAATAAAAATATTATCTATTGACTCCACCTTCTATTAACATCCAGTACTTTAATATACTAATTTTATTCAGGTAACAAACATGCAACTGAGATCGCCAGCATGGCTTTGGAACTGCTCGAAGCGACTTCTATATGTCGTCTCCCTCACCGGCCCGATCAGGTACTAGGTAATATTCGTCTCAGTGTCTTTGCTTGAGCTTGCATGATACCCTGTTTTGCTTATGCTACCGATATTAATGACGTACATATACTTTGTCTGTCAATTCAAATCAATGTAAGCCTCACTTATTGTTCTTCATTTATGATTATGTATCGCGATTTAATGCTTTAACAACATTGTAACAAATTGTAATCAGGTTAACACGAACATATTAAGATTAGTTCTGTGTTGTCATTATCATCCTCAAACATTGTTACGAGATTTTTTAGTAGTTTAAGTGCATAATAGACCTTTAAGTGAAACTCACTTCTCTATACTGAGATTAAATATCAGGAACATCATTATTCTATGTAAAAGCATTATTATTCTGAACTTCCAGGCTCTTTGTATGAGAAGCGGTATCCACACGGGCCCCTGTGTAGCTGGGATCGTCGGCAGCAAAATGCCACGTTACTGTCTCTTCGGTGACACTATCAACACCGCCAGTAGAATGGAAAGCACAGGCGAGCGTGAGTTTAACTATTATATGAACTAAACTTTATTTAAAGTTTCACACCCATAATATCATTTTCAATAAGAAAACACCACTATTCTATGGAATGGTATTTTTGGGCCTATACCAACAAGCCTTATAGTCTATCACAAGGTGGCACAAATATTTGATGTAAACATACAAGGATACATTTCAATAACACAACTCTGCTTTTGGCTCTGTCCATTAAAAATAATTCATCAAAAATGAAATACACTTACTATCAGAATTCATATTCTTCAAGATAAACATTAATATAAAACCACTTCAAGATATATACTCGTACTTAAGCCTTTTATTTTATTTTTATCATACAAATTACAATAATCAAACCCTTCTATTATTATCTTATAGTTATTATCTTTGTGAGAGAGTACATATTTTGCATAAATATGGAATTCTCAGTTAACATGGCTCTTAGTATTATTAAAAATATCATCAAGCAAAACCTTTAAAATAAATAAAGAAGTCTAGTCCTTTTTAAGTTCTGAATAATCTATATCAAAATATATATACATATATATTCAGAGTTATATATCAAATATTTTTGTAAAATCTGAATTGTCTTAATTTGATTGATGGGAACAAAAGATAATGTCCTTTAAAATGTTATGCTTGTTTATATAAAAAAATATTTTTTTATTAACAATATGACCTATCTCAGGTAACTTGTGGAGTTGAATTACAAAAATTGGTTTAAAATGTAGCGATTCTATTCTCATTCAAATACAAGGAAGGAAAATTGAGTTACTTCATCGCTTAAAAATAATTATGCACATCTTAAGAATAAGCTTTTACTTCCACGTCAATTTGCATCTATTAAAAGCCAATGGGAAAAAGACGCGTCATCTAAAATTATGTGTTATACTTAATAGAAAAGTTACCGGGCAATTATTTAGTATAAATATACAAAGACTTTTTAAACTAATTATGGTTACATCAAATCCAAGGCATATACTAAAGTTAAGATAATTATATCTGTATTACTCAATATCATGAAATACCTTATTGACATTAAACTTCTTACAGTAACTGTAAGTAATTAAGTATATGATTTTATTTCACAGCTATGAAAATTCAAATATCAGAAGACGTAAAGTTGGCGTTGGACAAAACTGGACTCTTCATCACTACACCTAGAGGAGTTGTTGATGTGAAGGTAATGAAGTTAAAAGGTTAAATGAAACTTATATTTTATTACTCGGATTATACTCTTTTTTTTACTAAACTACATAATCCCGACGACGTTTCGATTAATTTTCAGCAACCGTGATCAAGTTAAAAGATTCTCTTTGAGTGAACTTGCAAGTATATATAAAATATTTATTCTTCATATCATATTATAACATCACTTCCTCTCTTGCTTTCAAAACTCATTACTTCCCATACTTATAATACAATATCGGATGCATATATAAAACGATTTACCTATCAGAGTTAAAATATAAATTAAACCTACTTAGATACAAAACTAAACTATATTTAAACTTCCATGCTTCTTTAAATAACGGAATAGGTACATAACATATTTCATTAAATATAAGTAATGTTAATTCTCACATAACTTGAATAAGTTAATTATGTTATGTTATCAGCCTATCAGAGCCCACTGCTGAGCTAAGGCCTCTTTCTTACATGGAAAAGGTTTGAGCATTAATCATCACGCTTGCTCAAGATGGGTTGGTGATTTCAAACTTATTTTTGTGAAATCATAATTCCAGGTTTCCTTCACCGTCTGTCAGTAGTCTCTAAATACTCTTAGAAAATACATATGAGTCGGAAAAATCGCATTAGTACTTGCCAGGATCGAATCCATGCCCTCATGCATGAGAGGCGGGCCGTTTAACCACTAGGCCACTACGTTAATTATAGATTATAGATATATAATAATAAAAATATATAACACTGACCACGCTCAATATAATAAGATAATAACTATAACAATATTACGTAAACAATGTTATAATATATCAATGAGATGCTGTGTTAGTCATCATTTATTCAAAATGCTTCAATTGAAATGTGAATCACTAATTAATAACGTTGTAGACATTTTTTATATATTTTTTAATTATTCTAGTCATAGACAGTGACTAAATGTATTTAGTTACTAATATTATAATATTTTTTGTTGGAATATTAAATATCTTTATTTAGTTTAATAATTAACTTTGTTTAATATCTCAATTCCAATGGATTCGGAGTTTATTGTTCATAAAGCAAACTTTTTACGCCTTTTTCTAGAGACTTATAGGATATGCCTCCTTAAAAGTCGAATATAAATTATAATATGAAAATGATTTCAAAATCTTGGTTGGACTTTAACTTTTAAGCATTATTTTATTTATCAAGCTAAATATGTACAATGTACATATATTTATTTACTGGAAAAAAAGTTTTTACGACCATTTGAAATATCTCAAAAGTATTTAACAAAAATGTTTTTATGAGAGATTTTTATTACTTTTTCAAATTATACACATATAATAAATGTTGACAATGCAGAGCATAAATAAAACACACATATGTATATATTATATATATGTGTGTGTAAGTGTGACTGTGTCAAATCAAAAAATAATTTCAACTGGTTCATCCATTCAGTGGTGATAACACATTCTATTAACAACATAAATATTACATAAACACAATATAATGTTGTAACACACCTTAAGCTACTGGGAATCCCGTCCCAGTGGCACAAACTTAACGCGCCGTTTGGTAATTCCCGTTATTTTTTACTTATACTCTTTCATTCCATACTAACTTCAATCTATGTGCCTATCTAATAAAATTGAACGAAACCTTGAACTTTCTGTTGAATCTCGTTTAAGTTATGACACCTCTTTTAATGTGTCTGACATAGTTATTTAATAATTTTTGTTTCTTAACCTAGTGATTCAATATCATACACGCATTCACAGTCCCATGATGTCACACGATTTGCATTTAACGGATTTTCCATTAAAAATGGTCTTCACGTGTATCATGATACGTTGCGTAACATGATTTAATATTTTTTATTAAAACACCGTTATACTAATAGTATTACTCTGGCAGTATTAATATATTTGTAATTTTGATTAGATTTTCGTGAATTTTTATAAAATCACATAAACAGAGGATCCTTAAAGATCTCTTTTGTATTTTATGGACACAAAACCTTTTAGCATTCAATAGATTCACCGTTCGAGTATCGGGTCCATAGTAGAGGGGAGAAGCTTGAACAGTGCCTGGGACTTAGAACCCAGGTGTAGCATTAAGGGACCCTATCTAGTATGGTATAAAACTAATTAAAATACGTTGTTGTCCAGGGCAAAGGTGAAATGACGACCTACTGGTTGGATGGAAGGACTGGTCCGTCTCCTGTCCGGCCTCCTGCCTCCTCTTTGGACTGTACTCCAAGCTTTCTGACCCGCATCCACTCTCAACGCCGCAGTTCACCTCGATACCAACCCAACCAGAGCTAGAACACACTATAGAAGTTTTCATAGATTTTTACTATTCAAATATACTTATATGTCATTTGGTGTTTTATTAACACTTTTATTTCTTTACATTTTTAGATTTATTTACAAATTATTTACTAGAAATTTAAAATTATATTGAATATTTTAGTAAGCAGATTTTATATGACATATAATAATAATTATATGCCCTATATAATTCAGGTCAGGTCAGAAATATCGCGTATAGCCTATAGTTCTATGAGTATTTAATAGGGAAAAATGTGTAAGCCAAATCTTTTAATGAATCACGCAGCGTATAAAAGTATACTCGCAGACACTGTCTCGTCAGTCGCTAAACAGAACTATACAGAATGAGGTCCGTATTTTTAATGTCCATCACAATAATTGTGATAGCGTTGTTCATAGAAAATGCAACTAGTATGCCATTTATTACGATCGTGAAAAAGTCACTAATAACTAGTACGGATAGTGAAAATGTGAATCGTGAAGTGAATTCAAAAATAATGGATCCTCTATTAAGGAGTTTGGAAAAATATCGAACGAAACGAGAAATTATGAATAAAATTGGATGTCCTAAGAACATGGTTAGAATAATCACTTGTGTTCCTAAGAGGTAAGCGATATTTTTATCTATACTCATGCACTATTCAACTGATTGATCCATAGAATTCCACTTTTGAACAAATATGAATGATTTGATTATATTATTACCAATTTTAAACAATAATCTATTTAAACTAATTATAATAAATGTAATGAAAATAGTCAACTCGTAATTCTGGATCATCTAAGTTTTAATTAAAATATTGTGTTTTTATTACAGAAATGTGAGACACGAAAAGAGAAAAAAATCAAAACATGGACACAAAACCAAAAGGGCACATAAAAGTTAAGAATAATTATTGAATAGCGACTTACTATGTATATGAGGTACAAAGGTTAACGACCCCAAACTCAAGACGTTACAGCCTCAGTCATTCACAGTTTTCAGTTGTTCCTTCATAAAACACGAGTTCTAAGTAAAAATTATTATTACAAAATAATATTACAGTGTGAGCCTCAGATAAATTTCATAGTCTTATATAATAGAAACGCCTACAATATTTAATTAATATTTATTTAAATTTAATAAGTTAAAAAAATGTCTAGGGAACTTAGTCAAAAATATGAATAAATTAATTTAAATGAGTAATGTAAGCAGAAGTAAAGTGTTAGTATTAGTATGAAAACGTCTAGTTAAAGTATTTATTTTAAAATTTATAGTGAGAACAAAGCTTTAATTTTTGTTAATGTAATTTAATATTTAATTTTCTATTTAATTAATGTGTGTTTGTATTTATTTCGATGTAATGAGATCTGAGATTTTCACGAGTACTCATTTAAATGAAACTTATATTTTCGGATTTACTACTCGTTTTACGCGTGATCACGGCTGCTGTAAAGTAACCGAAACGTCGGGAGTATGTAGTTTATGGTCAAAAATAAAAAATGCGTAGTAAATCCGAAAATATTAGTTTCATTTATTTCGATGTGTTTTTGTTTCGGTGATGTGTTTTTGTATGTTAGTATTTTATTTATAAAATGTGACAGAAAAGCAGAAGACGTGAAAGTGAATGTGTTTAATTAAAAAATTTAGTGAATAAAGTTAATGTGTATCACTGGTATTCGAAACCTGTCACTTAGAAGTTGTTTCCTGTCAATAATCAATAAAATATTTGCAATAATGCCAAGAAATGTTAATTTTTTTGGCATTATTGCAAATGTTAATGTTAATGTCTCATAATAATTTACATTATGCTTATTGAAAATTATGTACTTAGAAAATATAATATTATTTAAAGCTTATATAATTTAAGTAGATTTATTGAATTTCCGATGATCTTTATATGTAACCTACATATGATGGAAAATATCGTATTTAATATTGAGTATCATTATTGTATTTAAATAAATTATTAAAAAAACATTACAGAATACACCACCATAACTAGACTTGTCTACATCTTTTTCCTATTCAAAATATATGTACTATATATGTATATAAGATTTTCTACCGTATACTTACTATTGAGGCAGTGAGGCGATTCCGAGATATATGTGTATTCATTTTCAAGATCTCTTATCAACTTATAAAACACTCAAATGAGGTACCTCTCAGAATAATCTCTCAATTTTTACATCCTCTTCACAACTTTTTACTAAATAATAAGTTGTAAATAAGAAATTACTAACAATTTTCAATCTCACATATACGAACTTATGACAGCACCGGAATCTAAATACAATATGGTTTTGAACAAACTAAATCACGGTCAATTATAAAAAAAAAGAGAAATGAATTGAAACTAACTCAATAAATTATAGTGATGAACAGAACTAATAATGTTTTAAAAGTTTATTAGGCATAAAGGTACGGTTCTGCTTCTTCTTCCTGGCAATTTCTCAGCTTTATCCAGGGTCTGTTTACGTACTGTTAATTATAGAAATTGTTCTTAGCGCTGAACGTGACAATATAATTGATTCAAAGCGACACATTGGCGTCTTTAAAGTGAATAAAGATTGTGAAAAATAATCACTCCTAAGTATAGTAGTTTTTCTTGGAAGTTATGTGATAATTAATATAATTTATGAGATAGATAACTATATTATTATATTTGCATGAAAGACAATCTTCTTTTAATCTATATGCAAGAATAAAATTAATGATTTGTTTGGTAATTATCTTCAGATTGCTCAAAACAATTTAAACAAAAAGACTGTCTAAACGGGGAAATAAAATATTTCCAATTAAAATGCTTTTGTTACAAGTTAAAGATTCTTGTGAAAATGCCACTAAACTATTTACTGTAGGAACATTTGTTTTGCAGTGATTTTCCAGATTGGCAGATACTTATAAACGTTTTGATCCCTTTTTAAACAGCACATTCAGTGGTTATAAAATTTTAAGTCCTAATGTATTTTAGGCAATGCCATAGAACCTATTAATGGGTTTTTTAGACATAATTGTAATTCAAATTACGTTGGGTCCATTTTTTTTCTAAAATTTGAGTAGTCCATACATGGACAAAGTAATGGTTAGGTCTTTTATATTAAAGCACTGTCTGAAGAGGACAACTATTTCCCCGGACATCTCTTCAAAGACGAAACGACAAATAACAAAAGAAAAAAGGCACCTTAATTTAATTTTATTTTTTTGTATATCAATCTTCGTAAATGTTGCTTCAAGATCAAAAACTACATAACTCGACACATCTTATCAAATTTATTTTCCTGTGCGAAATTCTTTGTGACAAAACAATAACGCATTAAAGTTTTGTCGAAATATTTACTGTAATGAATCAAGAATGTTTTTTTTTATATGACACAGAGAGAGTGACGCACTTACATTGAAATTCCACAAAGTTAAAGGACGCATCATTTCTATTTTTTTCCATGCTTTATACGACGTGTAATATTTAAAGCCTTGAAAAAACTATTATATCGCATTATTCAGCTAATCTGAATATTATACGAGATTTAAAAATCTTTGAAAACGTTATGCTCTTAGGGTCTACACCGAATTTATAACCTTTTGTTAAGAAAATAGTGACTCAAACATAATTTTTAACTGAATATGTAGTAAATAATACATTACACAATGCTATCTAAGATTTCCAAATCTACCCATTTCAATGTAATAAAGTTTTTCGAATAACTACTTACTCGTTACATATATTTTATCTTTACAGCAACCATGAACGGGGGCAAACGAAATAAAAGTGTCCCGTCCTTACACTCATTCCAAAACTTTATTTCATTCGCATTATACATGTTATTATTTAGACGCCAATCGCAGCCTCAAATTAGACATTAAAAGAATTCAAAATATTTAGTTATGAATATATTTCAATTTTTCTTAACACCTTTAAAGTCTACATAGTAAACTTTTTTTTTTTTTTTTACGTAGGAAATCTTTTAAAGACTTCCTGCCGCGGGGGAAACGCGACAGGGGCATGTGGGATTTCCACCCACTAAACCACCTCGACGTTCTCTGCGCTGTGCGTAGACTAGTGAGCAGGAACGGCAACCAATACTTCCGCTCACTACGCACGAGTCCCGAAAGGGACTCCGCCATCGGCAGGGGTATCCGACTCCGAATCAAAAGCAGCGTGCCGGGAACGCCAAACTCGCCGCTCTTCCTCTAGCCTATGTTACCCGGACGCCGGTTCCCCACCGACGCCCGGAGGCGTCCTCACTGGGGAGGCAGGTCGCGAGCATAAGCCCGCTGCCTTCGACCCAGCCTTCGTCGGCGCAGCGGCGCCGAGGAGGGGTCGTCTTCCCTCACTCGTTCAGCAGCCTCCTTCTGCAAGATGACTCTCTCGCTGAAGTCGACCACCGCCTGCCATGCCCTCTCGCTGCCGACCATGGCCTGGACCACTGCCGGCAACGAAAGGTCTGCGCCAACCACATAGTAAACTTATTATAAGTATGATGCAACTTATTATTATAATCGCCCGGTGAGTTCAAATCTCGCCGGGGCCTAGTTTGAAAGGCTTTATCGGTCCAATTATTTACTTAATTATTTTACTGTTTTAATTATATTTCCTAAAAAAAATATTTTCTTTTTGTTATCTATCAAGTCAGTCACCTTCTCCTTAGCTAACAAATTTGGATGAATGGATGAAACCTCGTACATGATATTGAGTCGAGTCTCGCTCTCTATATACATACGTGGGTGTAGTGGTTACGTAAATCTTATGAATGACTGAGGTAGCGTTACTCCAATTACTACACTCTAAACATTTTTTATACGTCACTATTACGATACTGTTGGTACGGCACAACTTACAAGTCATCATTTAAAAATCCTATTTACATGAAAAGAATGCTAGGAGGATCTTGTCTATCGGTCTTGATTTAGGAGGAATAAAACATCAAGTATTATGTTGTAAGCATTCAATTCTGTTCATGTTATACTGACTATGATGACAATTACACAATACTAGATAAGTAATGAACAT